GGGGGGGGGGTCTTGGCGGGGCCGCCGTGCCACCGCTGACGTCGCTGGAATGCACCGCCCCAGCGCACCGTTGGCGTGCAGGCCACGCCACGCCAGCCACCATGCGCCTCCGGGAATTGTCCAGGACTCTCTTTCGCCTGGAGGGCGCGTCTTTTCCACGGCCCAGTCGCGGACCCCACAGGGGGCCGTAGGCCGCCGCTCTGCACGCTGTCCACCTGTCGTGGGCCGCATCTTGGGCAAGTCACCGCGGCGAGGTCTCGTCGTCGTGGCTTGCGCGCCGACGTGGCCCTCAGAAAGTGCAGCACAGCGGGAGCTCGGCGGGGCGGGGCGGCCTGCGCTGGCTACGCCAATGCGCGAGGAACGCGGCGCTGCGCCGTGCACGCGTCGGCAGCGGTGCGGCTGCGGCGGGTGGACGCGCTCGCGCGCGGAACGCCTCGGCGGCGGCGCGCCGCGACCCGCAGCACTCCGGAGCGCGCGGGTGGCCTATGCGCGGCCAGGGCACCGCTGCTGCCAGGAGGCGAGCACGGCGATGTCCACGAGGAGCAGGACTGGGCTGCCGAGGCTGTCGCCATTCGTTCGCCGAGGCGTCGCCGCCAAAGGCATACCGCCACGGCTGACAGTGAGAGAGAGAGAGAGAGAGAGAGAGAGAGAGAGAGAGAGAGAGAGAGAGAGGAGGGAGCCGTGCCGAGCCGAGCCGCTGCTAGCCAGCCGTTCATTGACTTCCCATGCGCGAAGTGAGTGACCTTCCGCTTCGTTCGTAGTTCTCCGGCTGCGCTCCACTCTGCTTGCCTGAGCTCGCGCGGTCCTCGGCTCGGCGCTCGGCTGTCCGGGTTGTCGAGGACTCGCGCGAGGCTAGGCCGGGCCGGGCGGGTCGCGTGCGAAGCGCCCCGCCGCCCCCGTCTCCCTCGCGCTCGGGGCCGCGGCCGCGGGGCGCGGGCGTCGCGCGCCGCCCCGGAGGCGGCCCTTCTGAGAGCCGGAGAGAGCGGGCGGCCTCACGAAGCAGCTTCGGGCGGCGCTCGGGCCGCGTTCGGCTCGGCTCGCGAGCGGCGCCGCCGCCGACTCGGCTCCGACGCGAGTGCGACACGTAGGCAGAGCGGCAGGGGGGTTCAGTTGCTGACGAGACTCGTAGCCGAGCAAAGCCGCGTCGCGCCGCGCCCCTCCGCGCTCGGTTGGACGTAACGCCTACTACAGCGCAGTGCAGCGCAGGGCACAAGAACAAGTACGCAGTTGTTGACGGTCGCGCCCCCGCGAGGGCCCCGGTGCGTCGCGAGTACTCAGTGAACCGACGAGTGCGCCCCTGGAACCCGCTGGAGCGTAGACACGGGCGGGCAAGGCCAGCGCGAGAAGTGAATCAAGTGGTGAAAGGTTGTTTGTGCGAGGCAAGTGGTAAAACGTTTTGTCTTTTGGTTGTGTGAGTGTGAGTGCTTGTGGAGTGCCAGCGCCTGCCAGGGATACCCGCCGGGAGTACCCGCCTCTCAGCTGTTGTTTAGGTGAGTGCGGGGCACGGGGTGCGGCTGCAGCGGCTGCAGCGGGCGCAGCGGAGCCCATGGGCCGTGCTGCTCATGGCAGCGGCGGGCCGGGTAGGGGCGGCGGCGGCGGTTCTACGGCTAGCCACTCTGACTCAGACTGCTGACCGGG